CGATTGGTAAAATAATTTTTCTGGTCATAAGAGGATCTACACGGGTGCATAAATATTAAATAATATGTAAAAAAATCTGTACTAGTAATTTTTACTATGTTACCTTACATAATTATGATTAATTAGTATATGAAATACCCCAAAGTTATATGCTATTTAATATATACCGTTGTTACGGAGAAGGGTTATTTGGCGCCGGAAAATTTTCTTTTATCCCTCCTTCTGCCTTATTTTAGAAACAATTAATTTCCCAAATCGAGGCAAAAAACTTGTGCGATATCAATATTAGTTAAAACATAGACGGTACAAGTTAGTATATTCGTATGGTTAGACAAATTTATACAATCTGCTATGTTAATGCAAGTTTAAGTGCATCATTAAAAATATAAAAAAATTCCATACGTATGCTTTGTGATATTACATATCACTCTATATCGAATCGTTAATAGCAGTGGTAAAATGACTATAAAATTTTTAGACCAGCTTTCACAAGATTTTACCCAACTTCTTGAAAGTGAATATGGTTATGATGTGATAATTGAAGTTGGGGAACAACCGAATATTCATCTTTTTAAAGCGCACTCAGTAATATTATACCAACGTTCACTGTATTTTCGTCAGAAATTAGCAAATATGATTAAGAAAAATAATGTTATTGAAATTAAATTGCCTAATGTTTCTGCTAAAGTATTTAATACTGTTATTAAGTAAGTTAAATTATTACAGTAAATATTTAATTATGAAATACTCATTTATATATTATTCTATATAGATACATTTATGGTGGCATAATTGTTTCGGAAAATCTTAATCCCTCAACAATACTTAATCTATTGATATGTGTTAATGAACTGATGCTCCCAGAACTAATCAATCATTTTCAGTCTCTCCTTATCGATAGTAATGCTTCTTGGCTTCGCTTAAATTTTTCTCATGCTTATCAGATAAGCTTTCTTAGTGAAAATTTTAAGGCTTTGCAACAGTTCTATAATGACATTCTTGCAAGGCATCCGAATATGATTTTTAACTATGAGAATTTCACCACTCTTCAAGAGAATGCTTTAATTGCTCTTTTAAAAAATGAAGAATTACAAATGAATGAACTTGAAATTTGGGATAAACTCATTCTATGGGGAAAAGTAAAAACGCCAAATTTACCACCTGACCTTAAGGAATGGACAAATGAAAATTTTAAGTCTTTAAGAGCTACTCTTCAAAACTGCCTTCCTCATATTAGATATTTTCAAATTCGTGGTGAAGATATCTTAAGGAATATCAAACCTTATAGAAGTATTCTTGATGAGAATGTGTGGGATGATATTATGTCAAAATTTGTAGCTCCAAATATGCCTATTACATCTCTAATTTTACCTCCTCGTAAAAGCACGAATGATATACAACCATATAGATGTTTCATACAGAACAAACAATACGATTTGGTTTTTCCTTTCTCAATAGATATTATGGGTCAAATTGATAAATTCAGGAGATTTTATGAAGAAGATTTAGTAACATTAGAAGAAAAGGGAGAACTAAAGGCTACTATAATTGATGACTATATAGAAAGATTTTCTGCAAATATCATGTCAGCAATTCCAATACTAAAATCATCGCAATTGGTTGAATCTGCTGAATTATATTTCAAGGATGTTTTATCAGTTTTTTCACCAACAAATAACAACAATGAATTCTTATCTTGGATTATCAGACATAATATGAGACAACGAATACCAAATCCCTTTAGACTTCATATATATTGGTGGAGTAATTCCGAAATTACGTTAAATGAATTGCAACTGTCAAGATTATGTCCTACGGTAATTGAAACGATGCTTAAATTGGAATTTGATCAAAGCAAGGAGTTGAACTTTGATCAATATTTATTAGAACAAATTTCAAAACTGATGATAGAAAAGCTTTTTACGATTGATATAAATGACATAAATGACCGTATAAAAAATCAACTTTTGATATGGCAACATGATACGGCATATATTTTATCCTTGTCAAGCAAATTACCTAATTCTTTTGATAACCTAGCTGCTCATAAGTTACAAATATACAATGATCTTTCAAAATCTCTGGAATTGCAAAAACTTATTGAAATTCGAAATGTTGAAAAAAATAAAGATGGTGATGAAAACGATGAAGGAATATTTTCGGAACAATTTGTAAATATAGTATTTGAAAAGTTGTATGAATTACAACCAACAGAAGATAATTTATCATTACGATCATTTACAATTAAGTGTTTAAATACGCTATCACTTGAATCACCCATTCGTCTTTGTCTTTATAAAAAAATTTTTACATAAGAGCCTTTACCATTATTAAGCTTCTCAACTATTCACCACATTTTCCTCACAGAATATAATAAAGATAATGAGATTTTCTTTAGCATGATTAATGATCCTCTTAAAATTTTAGAAAAATCTGAACGTTTACAGGTTATAGAAGACATTTTAAGTAAAAAGCATCCCGATTCAGAAATTTCTGCTTTGTGCTGTGATGTAATTCAGACACAATTCTTCACATCACCAAACTTCACATTGCAAGATTTTCAAGAACTATCAAAATACTTCCCGATAGCAACTGAAGTTCTAGTTACTGCAGATATCAAAATATTACAGAGAATATCTGCGATTGCACTTCTGAAAGCCTTTGCAAATAATTTGTGGAATTTTTCATCAATTCAAAAATCTTTAACAGACCCTATAGAATTTGAATTTGGCGATGAAGAATTTAGCATTAATTATTTGAATCAACATTTAGAATTACAGATGCCCTTAATTAAATCTCTAATGCACTATTTGCTTAAGTCTTTACGATTAAAAGGGTTTTCTATCAATGATATCAAACAATTTTGTGAAGCGCAACAACAAATTATGCCATGGCTTAGTAGGCTAGTATGGGATGATAATGATAATCGACTAGGTTATAATCCATACTGGTATATTGAACAATATAAACAAGCCGAATTTGCGGTCTCAAAAATTTCAAGTTGTGGTGATTGTAAATATTTAAATACATTATTAGAAGATATTTTAGATCCAACAACAGAAAATTCAATAAATCTTCGAATTTCATTTGCAGGAATAATTATAATGAGACTTTATATAATTCGAGCAACGCGTGAATGGAATCAATCTGAAACGATGTTAGCACAAATGATTAAAATTTGTTTCGATAAATCTCAGCTTCCTCAATTCTATAAACAACCGTTGTTGGGATTTTTATCAAACAACCATTCAATTTGTAAACTTGCTGCTAATGATGACAATAAGAACATATTTATGTCTTCAGTAATCGCTCATATAATTGCATTACATATTTCTATTCCTCAAAATTTTTCTCCATTGGCTACATATATGCAAGCATTACAAACTTGTCATGATGATTTTATTTTGGCATGTCCTTCTGACGAGCTAACTGTTATAACGAATGCAATAGTTCATGATAATGTAACATGGAATAATAGAATAAGCGAAACAAGGTAAATTCATTTAACCTAGAGTGTGCCAATAGGTGTATTGTTTTATTGACCAATAAGCATAATATTTTGAATCCCTATAAAGGGAAGTGCCTCATGACAATATTAAGCAAAATATTACTGTAGTAATTTAACTAGTCAAAATTTCTTTATTAATAGATATCAATGTAAATGTGGAGATATATACTTTGTTTCAGGCTGTGGAACTGTAACATATACTGCTCGATGTACAACGTGCAAAGGAGAAATCGGAAGCAGAAAAGATAATCAATTAGTTGAAGGAATTACTCGTTTAGACAGTGTGCCATTAACGCAGCAAATAGATGCAAAAGATCTGCGAGGTTACATTGTAGAAGGGAAGCAACCGGAAAATTTCTACAGTATTAGGTCAATGACTCCAACATCATATAGAATTATTCATCTTTTTGTACATGCTATTATTGGAATACAGGCCCCATCCGAAGTTGTCAGCAAATTTATCAAAAATAACGTAAAAGAAAATAATATTAATCTCAATAAGAGGAAGATATGGCACCATTCTGTGCAATGCACATTAATAATGATTGGGATGCGTTGAAAAACATACTAGCTTGTGAAGATGAACAATTAGCTTTAGTTTTACATGCGATTCTTTCTGAAATGACACACCAGCCATTAAAACAACCTGCAAGATTAAACACGCCTATTGAAAGAGAAACTTGGGAAAATCAATTTAGTCAAAAATATATATTGCCACTAACAAAAAATACAATGGGAACTGCAACAGATTTTAATATGCAATTAGAAACAAATATGACAAATGCTCAACAAAATTCTGAAACTGAAGTCAAAGAAGTAATGAAATTAAACGATCAATACAGGGAAAATTGCTTGCCTCGATTATGGCGCCTTGTTGGTAATGCAAATATCAATAATTTCCGAGCATATTATATGAACAATGCAGAATATATAGAAGCCTATCCATTTCTAGATATTTTTCTAAAACATGAAAACAATTTACATCTAATAAGTCATCTCCTTCCAATTGTGAAATTTGTTCAAATTTTATCTACAAGCCTTTCATATCGTATTGAAAGACAAGAAGCAAGAACAATGACTTTCCGACAATTCATTCTTAAAGAAAGCGATAGCGATGGTACTGGTGAAACACGAAAAACATTAGATAAGGCATTCATTGACTTTGCAGATTCATGGAATGACTTGATTCCATATGTCAATAGATATCAATGCCATCCCTTACCACAAGCAATGCCAAAAATGCATGACAATATTCCTGTTGTTTTTGGATTATTGGAACCAGTTAACGAAAGTTTATTTTTGTGTGCAGCTATAGATTTCTTGGTTCAGCTTCAAAATGTTTTCCTTAACGAAGTTATTGAAATTCCTTCAAAAACGTGTCAATCCTTAAAATTTTTAGAAAAAACAGCCATTCAAAATGACGACGATATGCACATTCAATCTACGTATCATTTAGAGTCAATTACTCTCGATAACGCAAGATCGGAAAATATTATCTCTTATGATAATAGAAATTCCGGTATCTTCAGATTTAGTCAATTTGATCTGAGAATTGGTCATGGTCGTGAAATCCAGTATGATTTACGTAAGATCGAAGCTGAATTAGCACTTGAGCTAGTTCATGAAAAAACATTGATTAAACCTGATGAAAAAGAATTGTATTTAGAACCTTTCGTGTATCATAAGGAAATGTTTTCTGGATCTATGACAATTTTAAGTGAAATTAAAACATTAATACCTCAAGAGCGTATTCCTGAAGATAAGAAAGCAATATTTGTAGGAACCTATTCTAATTATGGAAATTATGGTGAAGGAGGATCTTCTGCATTAGAAAATCCAAAAGAATTGCTTTCAGCCTTGGAAATAATTCTTTGTTTTTTAAAACGTACGTCTGGAAGCGATTGTGACACATTGATCACGGAATACATTGAAAGTTGGATGAAATTAGCCGTATTGAAAGAAAACAATAGTAGTTATAAATTATTGGTAAAAGCTGGTCTACAACTTAAACATATAGTAGCGTTATATGAGTTAGTAGAAGAGCACGTAGCTGATGTAGTTGCCACCTGTATTCCTCAAAAATATCAAGAAAAACTTGGTTATTCATTGCAACAAGATATTTTAAATGCAGTTGATTTTGAATCATTAGAACAAGGAGAGCAAAACCAAAATGCCAAGTCAAGTAAAAATTTACGCATTCCGGCTAAAGCATTTGCTACGGCATTGAAAAGGTTTATAATAAGATATTTGACTACCAATGAGAGCATTATCGAAACAGAAGATTTGATGTACTATTTGGTGGAAGATGAAAGCCTTGAATGTTGGCCTGACTGGGTAGACAAACGCATCATTGAAAATAAATTCCCCCCATCTTTACGGATTTCACATACATTTGAGACTTATCAATTTATAAAAGAAGCTATTGAGGTAACTTTTTTAATGTTTTGTACATCAGCTAATTTTTGGAATTTGGTGTAAATTAACTTTACAGTAAATAACTTTTGATCCACCGGTCGGCTTTGAATGATTTTACCACCATCAAAGCTTGATAGAATCATCCAAAGCAAACCAGTGAATCAAAAGCTATTTACTACAAAAGTTATATGTTAGTATCAATAATTCCAAAAATTAGCTAATATGATAACATCTATAGTTATAATTGAATGTTTTCTTTTTTTAGAAATCACAGATGGAGAAACAAGAACAAGTCAAAGAAAATAAGCCTAGTTATAAAAAATCTGCAATTCGTAGCAAAAAAGGCAAAAATCAATATGATAGAAGCTAATAATTATTGTAAATATTGATACTGACAATTTAATTTTATTGCATAATACATTTAGCTTTTATCTGTTCATATAAATCTAACTATTTGAACCTTAAATTCAAGTTATTAGAAAGATGATGAAATTTGGTGATGCAAAAAAAACGGACATTAGCAATGAAGTTTATAAAGTGTTAATTTCTTTTTTTTAAACAAATTATATTACTTGAATATGTTTGCAGCATTATTTTAATCAAAAAATAAATTTTTTATATAATTTCAAAAAATAAATTTTTTATAATAATTTTTAAATCATTTTTATATCATGTGAATATTCATTAGAGTTAATTTTTAAATTGCATATAAACAATAAATATCTTTGACGAAAATACGTGCAATTCACAAAGCACGTTTCTTATATCAATGCACAAATACAAACTCCAATATAATGTGATGGTCTTTTAAAGCTACAAAAAATATTATTAAATTCTGTTTTTGATTTAATTCATCTACGAGTTTTTACATTTGCTGAAAATATTAAAACTTAGATACAACATTTAATATATTTTCTCAAAAAGGTTTATTGTAAGAAAATTTGGCTTGAGCCTTGGCAAGAATGCGGGCAGATT